CCTTTTGATCTTGCATAAAACTTTAAACCTCTGAGGTTTTAGGATGTATTTTCCTTCTCTTTACAAGACGTTATATACAAATGAAATTGTTAGAGACCATTAATTAAGGATATGTTTATTACAATTGATTTGTTTGCAGAAAAGTCTTTGAAAACATCAACTCTACCACCTTAAGTTTTGGGGTGTATTCAGTGGTGTCTGAATAAACACAGGCATCTCAAAGGAGGGGCTTTGGGAACAGTTTGAGAAATTCAAGTGCAGTAAATTATTGCAGCCCAGATGGTTTTCATCTCAAAGTTCTAAGTGTGAAATAGCAAGCTAGGCAGATAAGAATATGGAAAAATAGCAGTGTTAGTTCATAAAGGATACATGGTATGCTGGCACTCCCTTTAAAGCAGTGATGCCATCATTTTGGCCATCAGTTGCTTAGATTTTATTCTTGGGTTTGTTGAACTCACAGTTGTGAGTGTTGTGAAAAATAAAAAGAAATCTTCCATATACTCATTAAGTCATTTGTATACATTTCAATGCCCATGACTGTAAGGGAGATACATGTTCCAATAATCCCCAACTTTGTTTCTCAGTACTGTCATAGGGAGTCCAAAAGTAGGAAAAGACATGGATTTGAAGTAACAATAAAGTCCCTGTTTTCCTTTTGCCCTAAAGTCTTCCCTTAAAGACCTATTTCCCTCACAGAATTCCAGCTGGTACCACTCTGCTGATTCCTATGTCCCAGGAAAGCCTGTGGGAGTTTATGAAAAGAATTCTAGGCCGGAAAAAGAGGCCGTGGGTAAATATGCAGGCCTTCTCACTGGAATAGCAGGCTGCCCAGGAGGGAATGTCATCAGTGGTCAGCTCTGAGCAGCCTGTGATCTGTGCCATCTGGTGATCTGACCACCCCTCCCCCAGTTGGTCTCCATCAGAAATCACAGGCAAGTTTCTGGTGGTGGACTTCCTTCCTCATCTGGATGAGAGGTACGGAAGGAAGATTTCTAAAAACTCAAATTTTAATGAGTTCAGATCTCTCCTATCAGTGCCAAAGCCATATTTTTCATGGCTATTACATAACATGAATGTCCCACTGGTCTTGAAGTCACCTGTCTTAGTAGCATAACACAGAGAACCAAAAGAAAATAGATGTGTTATACTCAAATTGGGATAAATTCCAAGTTATCCAAGGTGGAAGATGCTTAACAGTAATTGATGGATGGAGTTTTATACAGGTTTTGGTGGTCTAGGAAAACCACAGGAGTAACCCAGCGATCTGGAACTCAGGATGAGCAACAACTGAGTCGCTGATGCCACTAAAGTAAAAGGGAAAAGTGAGGAAATGTTCACCAGAATCTTGAGATATTTATGCAGAAAACATCACACTGATAGAAACAGTTAAAGGAAAAGCCAGCCCCAGGTGACACCTCAGAGAGAGGACCAGAGGAATACAACGCTCAGCTTCTGCCATTTCTTACCGTTGGCTAAACCTAACTAAAGGCAGAGGACACAGGACACCTTGCAGCAGATAGGGCAGGCTCCTCATGACGTATACAAAGTACAGAAAGATGGGAGCAGATCTGAAGATAATTGACACCCTTCCCTTTCCCATTCCAAACTCATCCTTCTCCTATATGACCCAGTTTTCTAAATAGCAGCACAGTTTACCTAGTGGCATAAATCAAAAGCCTACTCTTAATTTCTTGATCCTCGCAACTTCACCTCCCTGCCAATATCTGATTCCAAGTCACCTCTTTTCTACTTATGAAAAATTCATGAAGTATATTCTCTGCTAATTTTCCCTTTAATCACTCTGTTACCACTGTACCTTATTCATTCATTGCTATGTAGCAGCCATGACTTCCAGAAGTTATATTGCTTATTTATTTGCTTTTTGAATCTCCAAGAGGAAGTTTTTCAGAACTTTATCTCCATTTCCTAGCACAGTGTCTGATACATAGCACATGCTCAATAAAAAAATGTTGGACAAATGAACTAATGCAGGCTTTCAACATTTATTAGCTAACTATTGCAGAACATTTTTTTAAAAAGATTTATTTACTTATTTCAAAGTCAGAGTTACAGAGAAAGAAGAAGAGACAGAAAGAGAGAAAGAGAGATATCTATTTGCTGGTTCACTCCCAAAATGATTGCAATGGCTGGCCTGGGCCAGGGCAAAGCCAAGAGCTAGGAGATTTTTCTGGGTCTTCCATGTGAGTAGAGGGGCCCAAGCACTTGGGGGTCTTCTGCTGCTTTTCTTAGTCCATTACCAGGAGCTGGTTCAAAAGTATAGCAGCCTGGGCAGGGACCTGTGCTCCTATGAGATGTTGGTGTTGCAGGCAGCAGCTTTACTTGCTCCACAGCCAGGCCGCAGCCCCAGGGCCATTGCAGCACATTTTAAAGCACTCATTGACCTCGTTCGTAGCTTCTCCACTCCTTCATTTACATTTCATTTATAAAAAAATGAAATGTCTTTTTATTTCAACATCTCATGGTACTACTCTCCTGTTTAAAACTTGGCCCCCCAAGTGAAAAAAATCTTGTCAATGATCAACTATTGATTGACTATACAGTATGTTCTAAGGAAAGGAAAGCAGAGATGAGTCAGTAGACTCAATGGGAATGCTTGCCATTGTGCAGACAACCAATATTGATGAAATGATCAAAGTAAGGTTTAGTAGTGTAAGACAGGGGAGCACTGGGGCTGTAGAAGCACCAGGCACAGGTACTTGACCCAGGACAAGAAGAGTATCTTTGGAAAAGTTTCCCAAGAAGAAAGAAGTTGAAAGATGAAGACTGTGTCCAGACAGAGAACACCAGCCACTTCAACATTATCTCCTTAGCAGGATATTTAAGGAAACTTAGTGTATCCATACTGAAATTTGTCGGTTTTATGTCGTGCATTTTCTCAATTAGCACATCCTGCTCTAGAGTCAAGTGACTACTATTTAGTTTCCTAAATGTCCATGCTGATCACCCCTCCTTCACGTCTGTCTGCTCACTCTTGTTTCCTGGTAGACAAGATTCTGTGTTTCTACACCTATTTCACACTTTGGCCTCCCCTTCTCTGCTCAGCTATTTCTGAAAGTACCTTGATTATTTTCTCAGTTTTCCAGAGAACAGTTGCATTTTCCTAGGCATTAGCAATTATAGATTAAATGGCAGTATTTTAAAAATGGAAATCCCGAGCCGGCGCCGTGGCTCAATAGGCTAATCCTCCACCTTGCGGCGCTGGCACACCGGGTTCTAGTCCCGGTTGGGGCGCCGGATTCTGTCCCGGTTGCCCCTCTTCCAGGCCAGCTCTCTGCTATGGCCAGGGAGTGCAGTGGAGGATGGCCCAGGTGCTTGGGCCCTGCACCCCATGGGAGACCAGGAAAAGCACCTGGCTCCTGGCTCCTGCCAGGATCAGCGCGGTGCGCCGGCTGCAGCGGCGGCCATTGGAGGGTGAACCAGCGGCAAAGGAAGACCTTTCTCTCTGTCTCTCTCTCTCACTGTCCACTCTGCCTGTCAAAAAAAAAAAAAAAAAAAAATGGAAATCCCTACATTCTCTTCATATTAACTCTCTGTATAGATAGCCACTGGATTATGCAGAACTCCTAGGGACATTTGTGGTGTACCAAACTATTCTTTCCCGATTTTTAAAGACAAAGGAGGGCTTTTCAAATACTATGAGTTAATTTCAAATTTAATTTAATGTTGAAAATTTAATCCAAAATCTAATGAACAATAATAGAATTGAGACCAAACACGCAAAAAAAATTTCAACCTTCAATTTTAGTTAATTATTACTGTGGTAACCCTGATATTTATTATCACTAATATTAGTATGCTTTCTTCAGTTCACTGTGTATACATACATATATATATATATATATCTTTGTGCGACTATAAATAATACAACCTGTAGTTATTAAGATGACACTGTTTAAAAGCACATGTATATATATATATATATAGAAAATTTAGTTAATAGTTTTCTCACAAGTTTCTTTTTTTTAAATATTTATTTATTTATTTGAAAAGCAGAGATACAGAGGGAGAGAAGAGAGAAAGAGATTTTCCATCTGCGGGTTCACTCCCCAAATGGCTGCAAAGGCTGAGTCTGGACCAGGCTGAAGCCAGGAGCTTCTTCTGGGTCTCCCACATGCATGCAGCAGTCAAGGACCTGGGCCATCTTCCACTGCTCTCCTAGGTACATTAGCAGGGAACTAGATTGGAAGCAGAGCAGCTGGGACTCGAACCAGTGCCCACATGGAATGCTGGCTCTCTGTGGGCTTCACACCTTATGCTCACAGTGCCTACACCTCCCACAATTTTGTAATCACAGTTATTTTCTACTGTTAAATCAAGCCCAAAAGTAGCAATATAGAAGCAAAATGGAAAATAGCAGTTAAGCTGTATTACTGCATAAGTTAATGATAGTACAAAAAATTAATTCACAAACAAAATACGTTTAAGTGCACAGTGATATTTTTTTCAGTCAATGTAGTTGTTTCACATTATTTTGGGTAGAAAATAAATACACCAAGTTTAAAAAGTAAAATTCAACATATTCAAATGACAAAAATCAAAAGACATTTCTTGGGTTTTTAAGACTCATTTACTCAAACATACTGAGGAATTTAGTCCATGCTAATGACTTAGCTAATGATTTGAAAATACATAAGAATGTACAAATAAACTGGATATGTTTATTAACATTTCTTTTATGGCAGGGTAATAGAAATTTATAAACTTGGTAAGAAAAATCCCTGCTAACTATAATGTCAAATTATGATGCTGCCAGTTAATATTACATGAAGTCATATTCACCATCCAAGAAAATCACACAAAGTGTAATTTTCAAGAACACATTCTGCCTTCAAGGGAGATTTTAATTCTGTACTAGTATTACAAAATATATTACTATGTGGTTTTACTTGAATATTTTCTCAAGAAAAAATAAATCTAACATCATGATGTTCTATTACTATACTTCACATTATTATACTCAATGACTCAATATCATTAAATTCATCTTAGCATTTTTTTATTAATGATGGATATGATATTCTGTTGACTGGCTATGAATACATGCTTTAAAGGAAGTAGTTGTTAATGATCCATGACTCTTAATGAATGACGACTCCTCCAGGTATTTGGATTTGTGAAGGATCTCTTGTTTGATTTGACATTCTAGAAGTTCTATATAAAAGTAAAAGCAAAAGTTAACAATATGCCATTTTAAGTATTTTATAAATGTGCTGAGTGTGCTTGTATTTTTGGATGGAGTTTGTGCCTGGAGGGAAAAACATAACCAAGTTCCTGAATGTAAAGTCCTTATAATAAACTCATGTAAAGCTTTCCTAAAGTGCATCACGGATTTAACTGTGATTTTCAAGTGTTCATTTTTATAAAGTCCTTCCTTTTCTCAAATATTTAAGTTTTTAATCATTTCTTTTTTCTAAGACTTATTGGAAGTTCAAAGCTTTTTAAATTTAGCACAATAAGAAACAAATGGAAAAATCTTCATCTTTCCTGAAGATAAGTATTCCTATGGATTAGTCCTGTCCAGTAGGTCACTGAACTGTGCCTTGAATAAAAACTGCCCTTCTTTGATTATGGAGATAGTTTATCTCCAAATGTGGGATAACAGAGGTCTCATTGTTAGGATAACTGTGTTGTTTTGTCTTTTCATAATGACTTTTGCTTTGTCATTTACCTAACATAGGCTTTGGAATTTTCAGACTATTCATCACCATCAATTTTAAATTGTGTGGAAAGCAATTTGTAACTAAAGGTGAATACTTAAGAATATGAATAATTTGCTTTAAAATACATATCAGAGTAAATTCAAGATTTTTTTCTATGGAAACAATACTCCCACTGTCATTCAGATAATGGACACATTAATATGTAGGAAAGAAATGAGGTGAGGTTACAGCCGAAACACAGGGAATTATGGAGAGCCTACATCTAATTTAGCTGTGGCACAATACTTATCTGTACAAACTCAGGGCCCCTTGTGGCAGACATGAACTCTATACATTGTGTGTGGCTAAGTAGTAAAGATTGAAAAGCATTAAAGAAAGAATTTTGCTAGGCCAGAAAACCATCTGTGTTTCTCTGAAACAATATGTTTGTCAGGGAATATCTAGGCAGGCACAGTAACTGAACAGTGCTTTCAAATATTTTAAACCAAATAAAGGAACGCTTAATAAATCCCAAATGCTACTCCCCCCCGCCCCTTAGAAATGAACTCTAATTATTTGGCTTTCAAATTACATGTTGGAACACATGCAATAACTTCTCATACAAATGTAGCTTTTAAGGCCTTGGAGAAAAGCAGATTGTTTTTGTACTGGTTTTGGTAAACATCAAATTAAATGTTTAGAGGGTTTGTGTTTAGTGAATATATTTAATTTAGCTGCATTGCATTTAAAAATAAGTAAATCTGAATATCCTTAGAGCATACACTTATCCCACATTTGACCTCCTAGTGTTGCCATATTCCTCCCCATTTCAGTCTTACATTTTACCTGTCTGTTGTCAAGGGTTTTAAGTCTTGGATTTTTGAAGGAGCAACTAACTGTACATCAAAACCTAGTTGACTGAGTCAATCTTTCTCCATAGCTGTCACGAATCATAAGAGAGCTACATAACATTCTGTCCTATGAAAGGCCCAATATTATTGTTAAATATAGTTTGTGGGAATATATGTGTTTGTGTGTATTTTTCTTCATTAATCTTCATAACACCCAAATTATACACAAATAGATACATATGTGTAATGAATAAGCAAGTAAATGCAATTGATGTTTAAAAATGATGTTAAATTTTTAGAATTAAAGGTAAGCAAGTGTACACATTTTTCCATGCAATTGTAAAGGTAAAATAAGTCAAAACATTTAAACTTTAAAAATTTAGAAATATCAGGGCAGGTGTTTGGCACAGCAGTTAAGCCACCACTTGGGATGTCCACATCCCATATCAGAATGCCTGATTCAAGTCTTGGCCTCTCTGCTTCCAATCCAGCTTCCCACTAATTAGCAACTCAGGAGGCCTCAGGTGATGGCTCCAGCATTTGGGTCCCTGCCATCTATGTGGGATATTGGAATGGAGTTCTGGGTTCCTGTTTGGTGTAGGCATTTCAGCAGTGAAACAGCCAATGGAATATAGTTCTCTACCTGTCTTTCTATGACTCTTTGCTTTACATACAAAATGAAAATAAATTTTAACAAATTATAAAAGAATAAAAACTTAGAAATCTAGAGATTTGAGAATCAAAATTTCACATGCCTACTGGAGCATTACTGCAAAGAAGATTTCAAAAGAATAAATCGATGTTAGGCAGTGGCAATGTTTTCCTTTGTGGATGCTATGAGGCCTCATGAAATGTCTTCATTGATTATTGTATATTAACACTTATGAAATTCATTATCAAATTAGGATGAAGAGTATATCTTTAGGTATGTATAAGTTTTATGAAGAACATTATAGTTTGGTAATATGTCTCATCAATCTTGCAAATAATTTCAATAAAGAACATACCAAATTTTAATTTGGATTTTGTAGGAGAACCAGGGGCAATGTTAATAAAAGTTTAATTGGAGGGAATATATAATCCAAAATATGCTTTAAAATGCAACATAAAATGTCTTCTATGATCATATTTCTCTGACATACAGAGACTGCAATGTATCCAATGACCTATCCCACATGAAAGCTGTCCTAGCATGTCTTAAACAGGAGGGTTGATTCTCAGGCCCTTGGTAGACTCAGCCGTTGAGGATCCCATGTTACCATGGCAAGTGCCTCCCTTCTAGCCCTTCCTTTCCGTGGTGTATCCAGTTACCTGAGCTTGAGCACAACCAGGAGAAAGGTCCCACAGGTGACCATCATGCACGTGACAATGTAGATTACTTCTCCTATGAACACAATATGAAAAGATCACACTGTTTTTAAAAATGATAATTAATTAAAATGTTATAGAGAATTGATTTTTCACTGACCACTGAAGGGGGATTGAAATCCCGTCAAAGTGATTTCCTTTGCGTGTTTTCTTTTATACAATGCAATGCCTTTGACATTAGACAGGGTTGGAAAATCTGAAAGAAAATGATAAAAATGAGATTAAAGTATTTGCACATGAATTTTTATCATACATGTTTTAATCTGCTTTATATTGTAAGGCAATAATTTATTTCGATAACACTATTTTAATAAATCTAATAGGTATGAGTGAAAATAGGAATACTTTTCTCAAATTTTAACAGCTTGTTTCTCCCATCTTTAATCAAATAATTTCCTCATAGAAACTATTTTTTGTAAAGCATAATTAATAAAAAAAGAATACAGTTTTAAGATAACTCATTGTATCATATATATATATGAGATAAGTAAAACATGGTAACTTTAGATTAACCACTAGGATACTGAAAAAGTTTTCTTCTTTATAAGCATGCTTTTAAGGTGCTTTTAAGAATATTTCATTTTGAATCTTGATGTGAATTGAAGGGGAGAGGGAAGGGAAGATGGGAGGGTTGCGGGTGGGAGGGAAGTTATAGGTGGGGGGGAAGCCATTGTATTCCATAAGCTGTACTTTGGAAATTTATATTCATTAAATAAAAGTTAAAAAATATAAAAAAAAATTTCATTTCACCATGAGCCACAGTAGTATGAGTTCCCAGTAAGAAGAGACCATGTACCTCTGCACTCAGACACAGAATACCTGGCTTTGGTTATCTCCCCTCTCCTGCCTCCCTCTGTTTCCATCTCCAGCTGAACCTCCACATTCTGCAATGACCTATTTTTATTTTCCAAAAGGGCTGCTCTTGGCCACTCAAGGCTCTAGTCTTTCTAGTTAACCTCATGAGAAATACAATACCACTAGCTTCTAGTAGCCTTTCAACTCTAGAAAACATGACCAGGTCTTAAAAATAAATTGTTCCCTGTGGGGATATGAGCTTTGCTCTGGCTTTTCCACTTTAAAGACAAAAAGATGCAACCTATAAAATAAATTGATTTGTCTACTTTTGGTGATTTTAATTGTTAACTGTGTGGTGAAATCATTCTTATTTTTGATACAATTCAATAAAAAGATCAATGTCAAGCATATAAATACCCCAATAACCGTTTTGATGATGATGATGATAATGATGATGATTCAGTCACTTTCAAGGATTAAAAAAAAGAAAATAAAGAATCCACTTGAGAGAGGTATTGTCCTCTGTATCATGGATTTTCAGACTTGAAAATCTGTCAAAATAAATGTGCAAATTGTGTAGAAATAAATGTATGAAAGCGGGCTATTACACCTGATGACAGGTAGTGACAATAGTCTCTGAACAGGAAAGAGATAAGAAGATATGTAACCAATGGTTCCATTCAATCCTCTTTCCATCCAGGACTTCTGTATTGAAGTCAGCACCTTGGAAGCAAAGATTTAAACTCTAGGTTGGGAATAATCAGTAGTGAGATAGATAGGAGTTTCAGATGAGTAATATAACTTTCAATGTGAGTCAGGGGAAAGCAATATGAGAAGTAGAAAAATAACAAAGGATTACTCATTAGAAAACCATTCTCAGCAAATCTGAACTCTAGCACACATAACATTCTTTGTTCAAGATTTTTATTAGTTCCCAGCTTACATTAAATTATATACTGTAAGAGTAGTTATACAACCTCCTCTTCTTGGGAACCGGAAAGTCAACCTCTTTGGTATGTAAAAGTACTACAGATGGAGATCATGATTTTTTTTTCATTTTTGTGGTCATAAAACAAGTTTTGTTATTTACCATAAAGTTGAAATGGAAACATTGAGCAACTTCAAATAATGTATTTTTATAGTAATGGTCCTCCTTTTTGAAATAATTAACTTTAATCAAATTGAACATTTAACTTTCTAAAAAAGTGAAATAAATGCTTAATAAAATTGTATATTTAAATCAAATCAAAATATGAAAGGTAAGTAGTTTTAGCATCTTTAAAAGGCATTCTCTGAAGTGTTAGGTTCATGCCCTAAATATAAGTATATATAATATACATTGGCTGATTAATTATTTGAATGATGTTATGATTTTCTTGAATGAAATTCTATCCCAAAGTATATGTGTCTGTGGTATAGTTAGGTATCATGATTCATTTTTGTATGAGATATAAAGGATTATTTTGACAAATTAAGGTATCTATTAGATATGGAAGTGCTTAAAGCAATTCTCAAATATTCGCCTTGCAACACTTAGAAAGAATTGTCTCATTCACTAAATTTCACTCACATGGAACTCATTAACAAAGAATAATAGATCAATGACAGAAATGCTAACTAATGATCCCAGTGAAAATTTAAATGTGTCTAGCAATCACTCCACAATCTTAAATATTACACCCTAGGAGGATACCAAATATCAGTTAGAGAGATTAATGTTACTGAGGGCTTCTTGGCTACTGAAACCCATTGGAGATTCTTCCCCACTTTTTATAAACAGTGAGGTTTAATGTTTTATAACTGTGAAATTAAAGTCAGCAGAGTTGATAACTAACCTCAGTTCCACACCATCTGCTATATTTATAGATAAACACTGTCAGTCATTTGTTTCTCTTAACTTATACCCTAGAGAAATTAACACTTTTATGAACCATGTTGTAAAATCTCTGTACATTTGACAGGAAATCAAGATTAATTTCAAACTTGAATTAGGAGTAATTTAAATAGTGTTCTCTCTAAATGAGTTGCAGAGATATGATCATTTCTATTTTTTCTTCTAAAACCTTTGAGTAGCAGCTAAGAGCTTATGGGGACTGAAACTGTTTTGTATAATTTATAGGAAATGGTAAATGCCTAGTAAAAGGTGTGAAAGTTTGGTTATAAAACAATGATTTTAAAATAAATGTCAGAATATTTTAAGTAAAATAATTTGAAATAGAAATTGAACAAATAACATACTGCAAATTTGCAAACATTCTTTCATTTAAATTTTAAACATAACTTAGAAAAGTCAGCTTGTAAAAAAACTACCTTTATTCAGAATAATTTTAATGGGGAAAAGTATGTTCCCCAAATTGAATTGTAATTTTAACTTGATGCATTCAGCATTAAGCAGCTTAAAATAAATAAGGCAAATATTAAGAATGGGAATAATTTATACTGTATTTAATAATTTTCATAACTTTGCATTTCATAGATGGAGGTTTTTAATATACAAACATTTTAGTGAAAAAGTGTATAAGCAACACTATCATTGATTATCCAAGAAGTTTTCCAATATTGTAATTTGAAATTGAATAATTCACCTATGATTGTGGAAATGCATATGATTTTACTTGGCTGGCTTATATATATTTTTTTCATTGGCAGATTGAAAATACCATGATATAAAGAGTTAGGAAGAGAGGCCAGTGTTGTGGCATAATGAGTAAAGCTGCCGCCTGTAGTACCAGCATCCCATATGGGCACTGGTTCAAGTCCCAGCAGCTCTGCTTCCAATCCAGCTCTCTGCTGTGGCCTGAGAAAGCAGTAGAAGTTGGGAGACCTGGAAGAAGCTCCTGGCCCCTGGCTTCTGATTGGCTCAGCTCTGGCCATTGAGGGTAATTGGGGAGTGGACCAGTGGATGGAAGTCTCTCTCTCTCTCGCTTTCTCCCTTTTTGTAAGTCTACCTTTCAAATAAATAAATAAATGTTAAAAAAAAAATCCTGCTATGTATATTAAAAAAAAAAACAGTTACAAAGAAAAGTAAGGAAAAGAGTGCATTTTTGGAGGGTCTTCGTAGTCACTTGGAATGATGAAATGATCCGAAAACTTTTTTAAGTTATTGAGTTTTGAAATGGAAAAAAAGTATATGTAATTGTGGTGTCTTTCCCTGTGAGTAAATTTACAAGTCTCAGAGAAGAACTGATACAAAAGTATTAAATATGCTGTTAGTTCTCTTTACATTGAAAGGTTCTTGAAACCAGACACCATGTCTAGCTTAGAATATAAAATAAGGATATCACAATGCCATGTCCAAGCAACTTTCTAATGCTCAACTATATGTCTTAGAATCTTTCACATTTGAAATAACACATTTATCACTGTGTAATATATGATTATAAAGTGTTTAGTTCTTTCCAATCTTTGACAATAGTGAAATGCTTTCACACAAATAATTTATTTTTCACCATTTCTTAAATTGGAAATCCAGTGTTTGAGGTAGAACGCAAATGGTTACCCAATTAATAAAAGTTTGCTAGGGAATTATTTTGCCTGCAGATTAAATCTAGCCATCAGATTCGTGTGCTGATGGGCAATGAGTAAGCATTTTGTTCCATTAACTCAGATATATCTAGGAAGAGTAAAAAATTCCGAGAATTTCTCTGGATCTCAGTTTTCAGACTTGCAAAAATGAGACTAGTGATATTTATGTTTCCAAGATTATTTTGAGGCTTCAAACTAATATTAGGCTAACAGAACTCTTAAGTAGCTCCATGAGTATGAATCACAATTACAATGAGAATAGAGGGAAAACAGGATAAAACAAGGGATTCCTTTCATGGTTCTTTTTCGCCTTCCTTTTCTCCATCCTTCCCTCTCTCTTTCCCTCTTTCATATCTTTTTTCTACTAGTATTACATGATCATTTACTATTGACAGACACTGGAGATAATTTGGCGATCAACAATTAATTTTTAAGTGTTGTTAAGTGTAGGCTGAGAGTGTACCACGTTGTTGCCACTGTAATGACCACGTAAGACCACTTCAAAGACAATGGCTCAGAAACCATCCTTATAATTCTAGCACCCTCCTTTATCAATAACATGTTGTCTAGCCATCTTGAGAGAATGCCACACTGCTCCATTGAAGCATGCATACAATAACTATATTTTGGGAATATCTTTCTTTGGCCAAATGTCTCAGAAGATTTTTCTATGTAATTGCTTTCCTTTGCCATTCCGTTCCACTCTATAGTCCTTCCAAATATATTTTGTTCCACTCTTTGAAATTACTATTTCAAGGCCTTCAAAGAACTATCAAACTAAACCATTTTGTTGTTTCTTATTGGCTCCTCTTGCTATCCTCAGCTTCTAAATCCTGGACTATTATAAAGTTCAATCTAGCCTCTTTCCTTTAATAA